TTATAATGTCTCAAAAATCCTCTCATTTGAATGCAAATTGTGTATCGTAAAACCAGTTTCTTCATATAATTTTGTGGGATATTGGTTGCTGTTATCATTTAGTAAAATAATACACTGTTCATTAGAGAAACCCATCAATCATTTGTGGCTTTTTTTCAATTCTCTTCGCACTTCAAATACACTCAGTTGTTTATGATTTCGGCAGTGAGTGACAGCTGCAGATAAAACCGCACGGATTGTGATTGTGAGCATTTTTCGGATGTTGCAGTATTGTTGCACGTTCTCGTAAAGTAATAGTGAAAACTGAATTTTCTTAGCGATTCTTTTCTTGTTTGTAGTTTTGTTGTTGTTATTGTGGATACAATTTAGCCAATGACCAATGGAATTTTTCGTTTCTTCATTTCAGTTTGGCAACAAATCAAGCGAATCCGTCGAAAAGCTGGAGCGTGAATTACGAGCGAAGATTAGGATGCGATATAGGGACGTGGCGAAGTTTGTGATATGGCCTGAATGCACTTTACCGAAAGAATACAATCGTGGATATGTGGTGCGCTCGTATTTTCATGTTTTTTCTTCTTTTTTTTAAAATTTTGTTCTGGCATGCGTGTTTTCGCAGTGTATTGAATTGTAATACATTCTCATTTCTGATCAAGACAATCTTTTAACGTTTCTGACGTTCATTATCTCGATTGAACATTTCTTTGTCCCTTCCAACAGTGCTGCCTACTGCGCGCTTTCAGATCTTTTCTGTGATACGTCTGAACTCCCCTCCCTCTCCATATACGACCATGTCGTTTAGTTGTGCTGCTATAGTTTTGTAGATTTGTGAAATTGCGAAATTGTTCAAAAGGCGATTTAGCGTAAGTGACTGTATGTGATCATTGGAAAGCTGCGATTAATTGCAGTCGTATAATGAAGACAAATCGAAGCGAACGGCCATTCGGTACACTCATGCAGGTAATCATCAATCAGCCGTGCTCAGATTGAATAAGGCATCACCAAAATGGAGCGATACCGAAGTGAGGAAAAAACTTTTGAGTGGTGAATTGGATACATCTGCATTCATCCATCCAGCCGGCTTAAAGCAAGACAGATCCAAGGTTTGTGTTGTATTGTAATCTGAAGAAAGAAATCTCAGTGTCTGTGCCAAGAACTTTAATTCTCATTTGATGTTATTATATTGCAAAATTCGCGTGCAATACTTGTAAACAGTTTTTTGCTCTTTTCATATTTGTTCTCGAATGTTATGTGTTATTTGCTTGCTGGGTAATTCTAAGACA